ACACATGTTCAGTAGAAAAAAGTCCACACTTTTCCCACTGTCCAACATTAGTGGCGATGATCCATAGGGATCAGCTGATGATCGGTTGAAGTGACATGCGCTGTTATGCATGTCAATATACTGTCCTGAAGACCTACAGAGGGAGTTAATTGGAGCAAGAAATGGTGTTGTCGATCCTGTAGGTTGGGTTGAACAGGTTGTGGGAAGAATCAGATAAGTGTGGAAGGCCTCATTATAACAGGCACACCAGCCTTGATCCAATTAAAACTGAGTCCCATTACCTCGCCTGCTTGTACGTGTGTTACCTCACACACACACAAACACACGCACATGTTCATACAGTGCCAGTGCTGGCTTAATTGATCCTTTTCATGTTTGTTTTAGAGAGATGATTTAGAGAATATTACACAAGGAAGTGCATTATCCTCAAGTATTCATTATTTCAGCATGTTGTGTACACTGTCACAGAATAAGGTAAGACTCATGCTGTGCTGTGACTCCTATTTTCCCATGCTACAATTTGATGTGCAATCCATGAATAAACCATGATTGCATGATTAAGTAAAATATCAACAGTGACTAGCTCTCCTCTCTGCTTACTAGTGTTGAGTAGGAACTGACTGCACAGACTATTGGTGACACTGATGCCAGTATTGCATAACAGGCAATAGTCCAATTAGGTTTTTCATATTTTTAATGGTGACAATTAAGCCAATAACCCAGTTTTTGATTTATTAAGAAATGATTATTAGGCCAACATGGTAGGATTATTATTTGTGTGTGTGCATGGAGAGGTCTGAAACTTTATCTCAATCTGTGTTTGTTATTTGTAAATTTGTAAAAGAATCCACAAATTTGTGATTTGCTTACAGAAATGTAATCAGAATGTGGATGTCCGTGTGCATCAGATTTGTAAACATATAAAGAATCTATAAATGTGTGATGAGATTTTTGTTGATGTCTAAGAGAATAATTAATGGATCTTAAAGAGAGAGAAAAAAAATCAGACAAGTTTAGAGCACTGATGTTTATGAGTGTGTGACATTTGGTGCAGATCCAATTAAAATCTGGATCTAGTGAATTTAATTTTGGTTTCATAAGGGGACTTTCGGGCCTTGCCGAAGGTTCACACTCTAGTGACATTCTAGTTTCTTCAGTAAACTGCTTGTACCTTTTCTTATTATTTTTTAAATATAGTCTGAGGCTGAGCAAAGCTGCATCTCTGAGGAATTGAGTCTGACAAGCTGAGTCTGAAGTGCGGCCTCATGCAGAGGACATGCTCTTTCAATTTAAAACACCACAGTCTTTCCCTCATAGACTTTTAGTGTTGTTACAGCTTTATGCAACTGGTTTGGAGGTAGAATTTCTCTATGGCAACAATTAATAGTTGACTGGTCAAATGTCTAAATGGGTGTCTCGACCGTGGAATGAATCATACCCCTGATGTTCTAACTCAATGGTTCATCACTAATCTATAATTGACTATATCTTTTTTTAGAAAAATAACGTGGGTCTCATTTGCATAAGTTCTTTTGTAGAGCCGTCATTGACAGCACTCACGGCTGAGACACGGCTGAGTGTTTTTGATTTCCAGGCTCACGCACCTGCATGTTGAGCTCCTCCAGCTCAATTGACTTGCCTGTGGTGCATCAGTGAATCGGTATTTTCAGGTCTTGACAATAATATTTTTTTGGTCAACATTCGGTGCAATAAATAGACAGAGACATTTCATTTGATAGATTCTAAGATAAATGTTGTGTTTGTTCACAGTGAAGACAGAAACTAATAATTGTTATATAATCATTTTTGCAGCAACATCTTCCTCAGGTCCTAGATGAAATGTTTGTGTTTTTCAGAACTAAGAACCTCGTAACTGTGGCTGATAATCCCTTTAATTGATATTTCTATCGATATCTTCCTGTCTTTAATCCCAGCTCTATTGGAGCTGCTCTGTGACCTTCAGATCAAACTGTAGTTGTACTGAGCAGTGGAGGATACCGTGTAGTGACAGTAAACCAGAGCAGTGTTCTCTGTGGAACTACTCTGGGGTTAAATCATTTCAAAGAAAATGTCTTGATTAGATAAAAATAGGAAGAAAAACCTTTCAATAAATTAGTGAAATAAATAGAAATAAATAAAAGGGAGTAATAATGTCAGTAATTTCAATGAACAGATTGTGTATGTGAATATTCATGGTCAGAAGATAGCTGATAGGCTCCGAGATTGTAATGTAAGATACAAAAATAATTTTTTTCAAGACTTTACAGCATAAAATTGCAACTGACACTTGCAGAATGATTGTACATATTTATAGAGAGCATACAACAAGTAACAGTAACAACTGTATTCATAATGTGGTGGGCAGTAAACATTTAACATTTATACGATGGAGGGATCATGTTTGTAACTGGTCCAGTAAAACAACCTCATATTTGTTAGCCATTTTAAAAAAAGCTGCAGAACACTGACTGGTCCAATTGACTCCTACGAGATGGCTGCTCATACCATGACAGATCCACCTCCACGTTTAACACCTGGCAAAAGACATTGTGGGTTGGAAAATTTTTTAACAGAAAATGGTCCAAAGAGAAAATGAATCTGATTCATCCATGTTATACATTTTCTTTTCAAACACACAGTATGCAGATATGTGTCATGGTGTTTTACCACTTTATGTACTTTAACACTTTTTGTGATCAGATCTGCGGTCCAGCCATGGCTTGTATGGGCTTCCTTATGTTGTTTTGAAAAATCGAATAAATAGTGACTGTCAGGGATCATTTCACTCAAGCTCAAAGTGATTAATAACAAGTAACAACTTCAAATACTTGGTAACACTTTACACTAGACCCACAATTTAGCATGATAAGCATTAAATGAATGAAAGTGTCACATTACAGTTGTTTTAAGAACAGTTTACAAATGTAATATTGTACACTTGTCAACAAGTATTTTATCTATAAGAAGTTATAGTTGTTGACACTTATACCTGATTACAATTACAACATTTACAGGAGTTTAAGAGAGGCGGGGCGGTAATCGAAACAACGTTCAAAATACATACGCACAGAAAGGATGAATAGGCTATAATAAAATGTTTTAACATGGATATTTGTTATCAGTTAATCAGCTGGTACGTTTTTCAATAAATCAATTAAGTATTTAATCTATTACTTACATCAATACAAATGTTTGACACTATTTTCTGAGTGATGTCTTGAACTTGTTGAATATGTCTGACCAAAGGTTCAAAACCCAAAGATATCAGGTTGTTGTCTAAACCAAAATTTGATGCCAACTTAAAAACAAACCTAATTGGTTTAACAAATCAATTATGTTCTTTCAAATCAAAGTTACCACTTATATATAACTTAAGCAAAATTAATTAATTTGTGTGTTGCCGATTGAAGTAATTTTTTAAGTTGGTCCAACAGTTTTTCATTTACTTATCAACTCGTCAATGAAGGGACAAGTTGTGTGGTGGGGTGTGAAACACATCATCTGATGTTGCAGTCCTCAGATCAGCAGGGCATCGTGCTCCAGAGCTTAAGTCCAAATCTGCCACAGGCAACTTCAGAGGTTCTCTAAATCTGAAGGCTCTGGGGGACATGTCTTGGCAGTACATCAGTCGCACGTCCATGCAGATCTATGGACAAACACTGGGATTTTGACAAACCATCGAAGAACGAGTCTAAGCAAGTGGTGGGGACATCAGAACAGGCACAATGTGAGCTCTGCTGTTTGATCCACTAACTGCAGACTGTAATGAGGCTTATTTGACAACAATTTCCTGAAGCAAGGCAGAGCCGCCTTTAACTTCACACTGCAGTTTCATTTTAGATTGTGATGAAAACAATGCTGCAGTTTATTTGTCATGGTGTGTTGATTTTATTTTGTCGACTTTAAATACAAAAGCTTTCTCTGTCATTAGTGTATAAAGTGAGTTCAGATGGTGCATGCGAACACAACATTGCCACTACAAATCATCACCACCTTGTCTCTAGGAAGTCCAATTATGAGGTGTCTGTCCGTGTGCGCCGTGCGTTATGGAGATAGATGCTCTATCTGGCAACAATGCACAAGAGAACAGATCTCACGTGAACGCCAAATGAAATCACAGAGACGCTCCGTTTGAAAATCAATGAGGCGTGAGATCTGAAACCCACATAATTTGAGGCACTCTGTGGGCGATGGAACAACTGCCTTTAAATTAGTTTTTTTTTCATTTACCCCTCGTGTCTGCGCAGGGAATAGTTTTGCGATAAATATCATGGGAAGGTTTCACACCCTTCTCATTGGCTCACAAGTCGCAGACCCCCGTCATATAAAGAGAGAGTGCCCGATCTATAGCAGCCTTTTACCGCTGGCAGCCGTTAAAGGATCACTATTCACCTTTTACGCACGGGTTGGCTGGAGAGGCTGCAAAGGAGCGCACGGCGGTGATTGCTATTTTCCAGAGGAAAAGAGTTTTAAAACCAACAGGTAGGTATATTTGATGTTAAATTTGCATCGCGAAGGCTGTGAATGTGGCTTTTGTTTGAGGGGAAAAGTTATTTTGACTTTCCTCACTCGTTAATTTGAAAGATTTCAATCAGAATTTTAATTGAAAAGATAAAAGTTTGATTTGTTGAAAACACATTTTAAACTTAAAAAGCACTCTATAGATCGTTTAGGGGAAATGTATGTATAGTTTATATTTTAAATCTCACTGTGATGCACAATGATTTTAAATCAAAGACTTAAGGTGCTTTCTGGAGCAGCTTAAACACATTCAGTGTCTGAATTGTGAAAGAAATGTGCCTCTTGGCTTCAACATGAATATAAACTCTTCATCAATTCATGGTTCAAGGGGATATTTCTGCTATTTTATGTAAGTTTAAGGTTTATGTCATATTCGGAGCAATCTTTTGTGAATCTCTACAAATAAATGAAATTCAGTTGTTGTGGCTCTTTATTATGATTAGCTGTGATGTCTCCTCTTCAAGCATCATTCCTCTGTTCACAGAAAAAACTGCAGCTGAGGCATTTGAGTGGGCATGTGGCTACTGGAGAAACTCCGTAGCTCTGTGGAGAGTAGTAAAGGGACACAATCTGAACCCCCGCAGACAGTAGAGGCCATTCCCATCTCTGTTTATGCCAATGTCCTCACTCCAGACAAGATCCCCGACTTCTTTATCCCCCCTAAACTTATCTGCTGTCCACCAGAGGACTCTCTCACCCCAGAACCTCAGCTCCGTTCCACCCTGAGACCTTCAGCCTCTGACCATGCCATTTGCAGCCAGAGCCCCAGAGCTCGGAGCAGCAAGAACCCCTGCAGCCCTCGCCTCTTTTCCCGCCTGGGGGGAGACGCACGCAATCTGCAGAAGTCCGCCAACCGTCACATCATCCAAATAGAGAGTGCAGATGAGCCAGGTGCTGGTTCTGTGGACAGAGTCAGTGTTGATGTCAACACCAATGCAGACCCTCAGTCACAGACTGCCATGTCTCTGCCGTATGTCCCTAAGGCTCAGACCTCCTATGGCTTTTCCACTCTGGTGGAGTCTCCTCACACCCGACGCAAGGAGAGCCTGTTCCACAGCGACCCCAGCAGCCCGCTCGCCTCCCCAAACTCACAGAGGCGCTCCCAAGGGGGGACTCTACTGGCCCCTGCTGACCCCAACCCCTACCGCTATTTTAGTGGTGGAGAGAGTGACACCTGCTCTTCAGCAGAGTCGTCTCCTTTCAACTCCCCTCTCCTGTCCCGCTCTGCCTCCCTCTTACGCTCCATCACCCAGGAGACACAAGCAAAGGTGAGGATTTGGGTTTCTATAGGTTATCAATGAATGTGTAACAAAAATTGTTTTCGTGCTTGATCAACATGCGGCCTCTTTCTGTATGTTTACTTGTTCCATCTCCCTCTAGGTGTCCCGTGCCAAGCGCTCCCTGGCGCGCCACAGTTCTCTCTCAACCGATGAATGCAGCTCAGCAGACAACAGCCCCAACATGCAGCGCCGCCGCATGCGCTGCCCTCCCTCTCCTGCCTTCAGAGGATGTAAGAGCAGCGGCCTGAGGGGCGCAGCGACACACCTCCTGCAGCGCGAGCATACTGTCAACCTCCACAAGGGGGGGACACTTAGGCTGAGCACTCACTATGACCCAGAGGCAGCTCGGTTGAGGGTACGCGTGCTCACGGCAGAGGCCCTCTATGACAGGCAGACAGATCTCAAAAGTATTAATTGCTGTGTGGCACTTTACCTGAACCCTGGCAAGCAGCAGAAACAGAGAAGCACCATCATCAAGAACAGCAGGAATCCAGTGTTCAACGAGGACTTTTTTTTTGACGCGCTGCCTCAGGCAAAAGTGAAGACTCTGGCCATGAAGATAAAAGTAGTGAACAAAGGAACGAGTCTGAAGAGAGATGTGCTGCTAGGAGAGAGGGAGGTGCTGCTCAGCGAGCTGCTGGAAGCCCTCTAGGGAGCTCCTGTCAAGACTTGGTGAAAACAAGCAGCTCTGCACCTTGAAGGCCCTTTCTTCTCCAGCTACCTTTTTATCCCTCCTCACAGATCTGATAACTACTGGACACGTGAAAGCATGGTCATGACAAGGGAGTTTTATCTTGCACACTGTGTCATGTACATCAAAGGACACAAAGCAGCGGACGCGGTAGAATTAAAGGTCCAACTCTACTAGGTTCATGTTTTCACAGAAGTCGGTCCAGGTCAAACAAAGCACCATTATTTACATGTTTACCAGTAAATGTGAACAGTGGATCCGTGCTCCATGTTTGTGTACTTCTCTTTGTGTATTGAGTTACAGTGTTGCCTTCTCTGATGAACGTTGTGACGTGGCACTGTTTGATTTCGACCGTGATGCAATGACGATGCTGTTTAAGCTGGAGCTGTATTTTTGTAATAATGCAGTAAAATAACATGTGTGAGTTTTTGCACGTACCTGTGGAAATGACTAAAGCCATGTGTGTACTTGAAAGAATTTATCTTTGGGAATTCGATTTCAAATGCTGTGGATGTAATGTTTATATAAGTGTTGTTATGTTGTATGCTTTTGGGTCTTACAAATAAAAATACCAGACTCACTCTTGTGTTTTTTTTTCTTGCAGTAGTGTCTCAGTGATTTTCATCTGCTAATAATTCCTCAGGATCAAGTTGGAGCCCCGGGAAATGCTTATAGACCCTCCTCTGTGCTGGGTGTCATTTGTGAGGCTTTTAATCATGCTTCTCTAACCACAATATTGTCTGTGTGTGCATTTAAACTCCCTGTTTAATTAACCAAAAAAAAAAAAAAAACATGTTTCCTGTTCAGGCTGCCCCCAAGTGAGTTTCAAATAGTTGTTAAGGGGCAGCACGTAAAATAAAGGCTACATCTCTCTCCTGAAACTAAGGCTGACACACTCTTTCCTGCTTCAAACACAATTTATGTGTGCAATGAAGATATACATTGATTTATATGTTCAATATATGGTTGATAAATGTGTATTTTTCCTGCAGGAACAGTCTGAACGAAAAACAAAACTACCTTGTCATCGACACTGGTTGTCAGGCACACTGGTTGCCAGGCATACAAGACAGAGCAATAGCCAAGTGTGGATCTTTTGCCTCCTCTACTGGTAAAATACCAGAAAGACACTTCACCAAATCCTAAAAATTAGTCAAGTTAAAGTTTTGAAACCATTTTTGGCTACTTTTAATCAACTGTCTTCCGCTGGGTGCCTTTTGTGTTTTTTCTGCCCATACATACCTAGACAGGTGCTGCTATGACCCAGAAGGAAAATATATATTTCATTAAAAAATATAAACACTCTGAGAACACGAGGCTGATTTGTATCCAGCTCTATTTGCTTAGAAAGTATTGAAATATTACACAAGAATGCGTGTGCACAATCATTTGTGAGCTCAAAGAAGATGAGAATGTTTTCTTTTTTTCTAAACTGGACCTATAGGATTGCTGCATATTCAGTGATGAATGTTTGATATTTGACATAACATTTATCTTGAGGCCAGACATCCTATAAATGAAATAAAAATTACACCTTCTCATATACAAAAACACTTAAAAGATCAATATGCAAACTTTCCCTGCATTTCCTTCATACATGACCACTGTTATACTTTTTTTTAATAGTCCATGTATTATCTATACCACTTATCCTTTGAGCTGCCAACTTACATTGGCCAAGAGATGGGGTACACCTGGTGTACAACCTGGACAGGTCGCCAGCGTATTATCCAACAAATATATAAAGAGAAATAACCACTAATATTTGCAATCTGCATGTATTTGCCAGAGTACCATGGAAAAATCCATCAGCCAAGCAGGATACAAAGCAGGAACCTTCTTGCTGTGAGGCAACAGTCACCACATGTTTATCAAAACAGTATATTTTTCAACACTGTCTATTCATTATTATTGTAAATTTTCAATATGCATATATATGTGACCATTAAACAAAGTGTTGATTTAATCTGGATTTATTTTTGTTTCCACTCCATTAAATAGTATTAGAGACAGGAGTGCTTGCTTTGGGATGCGGCCATCAGCATCTTTGTGATTCTGTTGTTGTCCTGTCATTACACCAGAAACATATTCTGTGAAGGTTACTGACTTTTTCACACTAAGGTTTATATTCCAGTTAATGTAAGGTCTTGGCGTTCATGTTCAGCATCAGGCATGTCAACATTCACGTCAGTATTATGGCCCCTGCCGTTGTGGAGGAGGATAACGTCCTGTGATCTCTTCAATTCACTGTGGCAATGTTCAGATCAGTTAGAGTATACTGTAAAATGATCAAACATCTTAATACTCAAAAGTTACAAGATCCAGATTTGTATCCGCAACAAATTGCACACACTCTAAATATCAGTCACCTAAATATGCCTAATTTTTTTTCATCAAGATCCATGAATTATTTTCTGATAAATTCATGAAAATGGTGAGAAACACCCAATCTCACAATGTTGAAAGAAAGCTTCCACCACCTGATCCATAATAATGATGTCCCTGCCTCTGACTGTGACACTTTTCCACTTTAACTTCCTGTGGCAAATAACGCACTAACTCTACTAAGCACTTTGTTTACTTACAACATATTGAACAATCACCCCCATGGTGCTTATAGAATGTTTTTCTATTTAATTTGAGTTTCCTATTTTTATATTTTTCATATTTATACTTGCACAAGTAGACCACATCAAATCCCTTACTCTCCATTAAAGAGCTTTTCCATTAAACTCCTGCATTAGATGAGAGGAGCCAGTATCAGCTGACTCAGCTCCTGTCTTCACCATAATAACACATCCGAGGAGCTGGTTGGTCCGAGCGACCATAACAAACGAACCGTCAGCTGGTGCGCCGCTCGGCCCACATGCACCACGGGATATGTAGTTGCTTTCTAAGCGAACGGCCCGGCTCTCCCGGAAGTGGGGATTCCCTCAAAACTACGCCACCCACAACGCCTCGCGGAAATCGCAAACGTAGACCTGTCAAACAACACACGCCATCTTGACAGCAGCCTCAAAATGGCAGAAAGATGTGGGACAGAAACCGACTCCACACCGAGGTCCCGGCTCTGAGTTGTCTAGAGGCGGACTGGTCAGTTTGAACACGACCCGGCGGGTATGGGGCTGGAGTCCAGCGCGGCAGCACCGAGTCTGTAAAATGGACATAACGACGGCGGTTTTCAACGCGGCCAAAGATGGTAAGATCAAACTTATCCAGAAGTTACTGGGCAACAAAACTCCCGAGGAGCTGGAGGCTTTAGCCGAGGAGAAGACCCAGGGAGGCACTCCTCTGCTCGTAGCCTCCAGATACGGACACTTAGAGGTGGTGGATTACCTCCTGGAGCACTGTAAAGCTAATGTCGAACTCGGGGGCTCGGTTAACTTTGACGGGGAGACCATCGAGGGGGCTCCGCCGCTGTGGGCGGCTTCGGCAGCCGGTCACCTCCCCGTGGTGAAGACGCTGCTGAGACACGGAGCCTCCGTGAACAACGCGACGCTCACCAACTCCACGCCGCTTCGGGCCGCCTGCTTCGACGGACACCTGGAGATCGTGCGCTATCTGGTGGAGCACAGAGCCGACATGGAGGTCGCCAACCGCCACGGCCACACCTGCCTCATGATCTCCTGCTACAAGGGCCACAAGGAGATCGCCAAGTTCCTCCTGGACCGCGGCGCCGATGTCAACCGCAAGAGCGTGAAAGGCAACACCGCCCTGCACGACTGTGCGGAGTCGGGCAGTCTGGACATCATGAAGATGCTGCTCAAGTGCAACGCCCGCATGGAAAGAGACGGGTATGGGATGACTCCGCTGCTCGCTGCCAGTGTAACAGGTCACACCAACATCGTGGAGTATCTGGCTCACCAGCCTCGCACCTCCAGAGAGGAACGCATCGATGCACTTGAACTCCTTGGGGCTACTTTTGTGGACAAAAAGCGTGATCTCTTAGGGGCGATGAGGTACTGGAGGAGGGCCATGGAGCTGAGGCAGCCAGGGGACAAAGCTGGATCCCTGGCCAAGCCTCCACCTGGTCCCCCAATCCCTGCTTATGGCTGTGCTCAGGAGGTGAACACAGCTGAGGACCTGGAAGCTCTGATCACAGACCCAGATGAAATGAGGATGCAAGCTTTGTTGGTTAGAGAGCGCATCCTGGGCCCGTCCCACCCAGACACCTCTTATTACATCCGCTACAGGGGAGCCGTGTATGCTGACTCAGGAAACTTTGAGCGTTGCATCAGCCTGTGGAAATACGCTTTAGACATGCAGCAGAGCAACCTAGACCCTCTCAGTCCCATGACAGCCTCCAGTTTCCTCTCCTTTGCAGAGCTCTTCTCTTTTGTCCTTCAAGACCGGGCCAAAGGCACCTTGTCGACACGTGTCACCTTCCATGATCTGATGACCGTGCTGGGGAAAAGCGTGAGGGAGGTAGAGAGAGCTGTGGCACAGAGGGACAACCCCCCAGAGGCTCCACAGTTTACCAAGTCCCTCTCCATCATCCTCCACCTTATCTTCCTGCTGGAGAAGCTGGAGTGCAGCACGGAGCAGGAGCATCAGAAGAAGCACACAGTGTATCGGCTGCTCAAACTGAACCCTCGGGGTCGGAGCAGCTTCACTCCTCTGCACATGGCTGTAGACAAGGAAACAACTTCTGTGGGCCGCTACCCGGTCGGCCGCTTCCCCTCCCATGCGGTGGCAGCACTGCTGCTAGAGTGTGGTGCAGACGTTGATTCTCGTGACTGCGAGAACAACACGCCGCTGCACATCGCTGCTAACAATGGTTGTCCAGAGATTATGGCGTTACTTATGAAGGCTGGGGCTCACCTTGACGCTACGAATGCACAGAAGAAGACGGCCTATGAGCTGTTGGATGAGCAGAGCAGTGGGCACCCGGCCCTCTACCCACTGAACTACATCACCCTTCAGTGCCTTGCGGCACGTGCAATTGAAAAGCACAGACTGCCCTACAGAGGACTCATCTCTGAGGAGATGGAGGCTTTCATTGAGCTGCATTGACTTCCACTACTTTCCCCTGACGAGGAACCTCTGCACTACTCCTCATATTGTCCCCTTTTATTTGTATTATGACCTCCCACAAACACTGTCCTCCACACCATTCTCTTTATTGGGGCCCCTTATTTGACTTCTGCTTTGCTCCTGGCCCCAACATAATTATGGTCAGACAAACCATAGCATAAACATCCAGCCTCTTGGCTTAAATCTCTGGCTGAGACCTGGTAAGGTATCGGATAATTCTCACACAGACTTTTAAAGTGACTGTTGGTTTGTACTACGATTTACATCTGGGGAAACAGCCACTTGGTACAGGCTTAAATGTTTCTCCTACTGAAAACAGAGTTATAGTATGATGGTGCTTGTGTGTGTTTGAAGGTGGCTGGACTGAAGGAGGGATGGGTTTAAGTGTTGCTGATGGGAAGCATCTGATCAAACTAT